GACACAAGTGTCATGGAGCAGGTTTCACTAGCACATGTCCGAGACTGTAGGAAAAGGGGCGAAAATAACATGTTGTCACCTTCAACCAACATTTAAATTTGAGTTATTGCCAGCACTGCTACTAAAATTTGAATTAACAAACCAAATAGAGAGATACGAGTCCTTGAAACCTTGCTTTAATATGTCCATTTGTATCTTAAATTACTTTATTCACTGGTGGGTTGTGGCGGCAGGGGTAGTCCTGGTTTCATTCTCCTTTGAGTGATACTCTTAAGTCCAAGGCTTACCAGCAGCTACATATGCATGCTTCATCTTGCTGAGCTTGTTTTAATTGTTATAGGTACTCAGACACAATGAGAGCATGATAAGCACATATTTTTCCAACTGCTAAGGACAAACCCATCAACATCTGGCTCGTGGCGAATTTTTTTTTCTTTTTAAAGCTCATGGGAACCATCGATGCGAGCTAAATTTATGGGACACGCTGCTCATGGATAAGTATACTGTGCCTGTAGTTCCGTGAAGCCAACAGACAGAATGACTCTGGATTAGTAAACGTAATTGTCGCCATCAATTCAAAGTTAGAATAATAACTGAGCTAGTTGGTAAGTATTCATTCCATAAGACGGGGCGTGCAAACACGCACACAAGAAGGATGTCAAGACACCTGCAGATGCGGACTAACAGCTGCAAAGGCATACAACGGCGGAAAAGAAAAAGGCACAAAAGCTTATCTGAGTATACCTGTGCCTAGGTGCACCTATCAGTATAGCACGTGTGCAGGTTTACATGACAAATTTGACATTTGATTTCTTTCTTGTGCAATTTGATCAACGGTTGACTCGTTTATGTGCTACAACTTTGGTGTGCACTTGCACTCTTCGCTATGATCCTACACTATCAGTTATTACACTAAGAAAGAGTTGGGTGAGCCTCCGGTTAGCAGTCTGTGATGTCCCAATAATTCGTAGTTAACACAAAGGCCCTATGCCAAAGCAGCTGTAGCTAAAAGAAACCTTATACACCACTCCTGTACAAAATCAATCAGAGAATTTGTTCATGTGTTTTGCGAAACAAACGCGAGTCCTCTTGTTGTCTACTACTAGTTCATTCTTTTTTTTGCACAGTGGCACAAACTTTACCGAGCATGTTGGCAGCCGTAAAAACAGCAGCTGCTCTTCTGTTCGTGGTTGCTACGCCCCTTCTTTTAGAACTGCATAAGTTGTAAGGGAGTCGAAGGAAATATTTGCTTGTTAAAGTTCTTCTTGTCTGAGAAAAAGCTTGTTCTTTTTGTCTTTTTACTAGTACACTGTAGCAGATTAACTGTTCGACGTGTCTGACAGCCGCCTTGTGTAAAGCCTTGCCTATGGCTAGGTACTTTCGTCCTCGTGCGTTTTCCAACTTAAATCGGTGGGGTAGTATTCTTTCCCTTTTATTTTTCCTTCCTTTTTTTTGCGTGTGCAAATGTTTTCGTGCATATAGTCAAGGTATCATTGAATTTGTGGTGCAGATTCCTGTTATTGTGGTCCATTGTTTGAAAGCATGAGCGGCCATTCTTACACCACCCTTTAACGGTGTTTTCCTAAAGCTGCTTTTTTTTTTATTGTGTCCCAAATATCATACATATATCAAAGTTTGTGTACTCTCAGGAGCTGTATAATGCCCCCTTACGTATTTTTGTTTCTGAAGACGTTCCGCCCATTTAATGGTCTGTCAGTATCATCTTCTTGTCTTTCTATTTTTCATACAGTCTTGTCATCAGTTTAACGTGCAGTTGGTGTGTCGGCGAAGTTGCTTTCTGAAAGCCCAATGACCCTTTTCTGAATTGTTAGTCCGGCTTTCTGGCAAAATGAAGAATCTACTTTTAGACATCACATTACCGTCCTTGTATTCCATTAACATGCATTATGAAATAGATTTTGTTGATGCTATAGCACCGACATCACGGACAGCAGTCAAAAGCTAGCTCATGTGGTTAGCGCTTTGCTTTCATCTTGATTGGGAACACGGCTGTCACTTAATGAAAGAATCAATAGAAAAGAAAAACCTTGGGTGGGAGAAGCGAATGCAACATTTAGGAAAAGGGTCCATTGTTCTCTATTGACACTCATATGGCATATTGGTGCTGGCGATGCATGAGTTGCCTTTGTGTGTGTGCTTGCACGTTTTCCTTTGTTCACTTTGTTTTGCGGTAGCAAAGCGGCTGCTGCGACGGTTATTGCATGCCTGGAGGTCACACATCGCAAATCAGCATCGTGATAAAGTTGTGCATTGTCCAGTTCTCACTGCTGCGGGTGTTGGAAAACGGCACGTGAACTGTTGCCTGCTCGTTATAGTGTGTTAACGTTCTTTGTCAGTGCTCTTTGTGTTGTGTGTCAAGTTTGTTAGTTGTTTATAATTTGTGTCCTTATGTGTGATAGTGTTGGCAATTATAAGGTCAAGAAGCATGTTGATTTTAAATAAGGTTAGTTGGGCTATGTGATAGTATTGATTAATAAAGTCAAGAAGCATGTTGATTTTAAATAAAGCTAGTTGGGCTCCCATTATGCACAAGATAAGGTTGCTGGAGGACCGCAGCAACTCACTGAACAAAATCCTGTCTTCTGTTGTGTTGTACTCCATCGAGCACAGGATTGGAAAGGGTTTCAGAGCTGAAATGTTTCTATGCATTTTAAGGAATCTGGAGTTACCTTAAGTGTCAGAAGCTATTTTCAATAGCCTAGACTTAAATGTTGTAATGATTGCTTTGTTTACCCATCCTTTTTTATTTTCGCATGCTGCCATTATAAAAAAAAAGTTAATAGTAGAGGTTGCAAAATAAATCAACTGTATCCCGAAAACATTAAAGGTTCTAAGTATGCATGATCATAAGCAGAAGTATGAAAACCAAGTCATGACTAGTTCGCGGATTTCAATTCCTGGCTACAGTAGGGGAATTTCAGTGGGCTGAAATGCACAGGCACCAGTGTACTTAAATTTTGGTGCACATCCAAAAACCCCATGTGGTCAGAGTTAATTTACATGTCCCCCGCTACTATGTGCCTCGATATTGTATCAGGGGCTTAAATGAATAAAAGCTTATAATTAGTGAATTACTCCAGTAAAGCAAGTTTGTTATAACAACATATATTATTCTCAAACTGCTAACATGTGTTTATTTACTGGGCCCCAGATTGCATTATCATAAATGTGTATGCTAATAAGCCATGTTTTGTGAATACTTCGGTATTTTCTGCATTGCAGAAGCTCGAGTATGTTAGCTGTTCACGTACAGTTTCTTATGGTATTATTGCAGTAACTTATTTGTTTATTTTGTACAAAATGTTCACTTGCCTGCATACATGAAGTGGGGTTAAACATTGAACATAAGTTAAGCAATGCTAGCTATCACTTTTTGGTATGGCCAAATGATATGAATCCACTTGAAAAAGATATGAAGCCACCTAGCATATTTGAGAATTCTTGAGCCAGGTGTTGCTCTGCACTCAGATGTTGTTTGGTTTGTACGTAGATAGTTTCCTTATGAAACTGCCTGCAGTGCACGTATGATAGTAATCTGAAAAGTCCTTTAACGTAAGCCTGTCTTCAGATGTGTGGAAGTGCTACATTCTTGCCTCCAAGCATATAATGTTATAATTTTTGAAGTCTGCTTTGATTTTAGTGTGTTCACGTGGGAGGTCTCATAAAGACATAGATATCTTACATGTCGCAGTAACAAGTAGCAGTTTATAATGTAATGAATTGCAGGTTCTCTAGACTAATCAAGTAAGCACTGTGAACAGTTGCCCACGTAAAGATAACCTGTCACACGTTTCATAACGGATCCAGTGCAGGGCAGATATGTGATGCTGTGAAGCAAATGTGATAAATGGCTTCCCCTCACTGCTGAAGTTTCACATATATAAAAAGTCCTTATTTATTGGTGGGGATTCGAGGGCACTAAAACGGTTTTGGGAGTCCAAGAAACCTGGACTGATCCTGTTGTTGCTCTCGGTGTACCGATATTTGTGCATTTTGTAAGATCTCGCTGCATTACTTATCTGTACTGCGGCGAAGTTTGCCAAATCAAATTTGTCAATATGGAATGCATATAAAACCCTTGCTGCACATGTATTTCTGAGCATCTCTATACTATTCCTTTTTCTACACCAACACTATTGTCTGTAACGTAGTTTAATGTAGTAGGATGTTTAGTGCTTCGTAGTTGCTGTAGCCAATAGAAGTAGTAGCATCTACAGAATGGATCCTTGCTCCTGCTCTGCCCGCCGTTACGCTTGACAGCAGGTTGTTTTGCTTTTAGTCGTATGCCATTTGTGTAGCCACATAGTCATTACCTATTGTTCAAACTTGTGGAACAAGTGCCTTGTGTGTCTTTACGTAGGCATTTAGTATTCCTCTTTAGTCAAGCCTACAATTGGCACACTGAACTGCCATATTGTTTCATTGACTAACACGAGCTTGCTGAGGTGCTGTTATTTGTGAGTGACTTACTTTCATTTAAAACTTCTTCACATAGTGCTTGAACAAGTGATGTTATCATTTGACCTAGTCTCCTAAAAGCAGGGGTACACTCGAGAAGCTTTTTTTTCTATAGCACTGCCCATAACCTAACATATGTGTTCTCTTGTGAACTTAGTCGCTTAATATAATACATAAATGCTCATAGCTTTAATCTCAATACTTCCTAACAACAGCGATTGTGCCAATATCACAAATATCGTGTTTAGATTTTGCCACTCCATAGCCAGCCTATTACAGGATTTGCTTTTATAAGACGAGCGTTACAGGTATAGATGTGGCATGTATACCTAAAAGTCTAATGGATTGCTCCTGTTGTGCTTTAGCTTTCCTTCCTTATCGTCACATGTTCTTTCTGTTTCGTGACTCATGCCACAGAAAGTAGCAGCATACTAGCTCTAGCGTTTTGGGATGGTTTTAAGAACATAACCCTATGCATGCAGTACTTTAAATTCTTCTGGCCCATTCACTCATTTAATAGCATGTTTTTGGCTGCTCAGGGATCTGCCGACTCCAACTACAGCCAGCCATCGTCCGACCTCTCACTCGACGAAACTCGCGAAAAACAACGTGCTGACAGGGAGAACAAGGCATTGGCACAGCTGCGGGCGGCAAGGGTGAGTTTTCCTGTTCTCGATTTTCATGCTCACGAACATGTGTGTGCATTTATTGCTTTCATACTAGATGGAATACACAGTTGCATAAAGCATATCACGTGCAATGTGTGTCATTGGAAAGAGCGAATGAGTTTGTATAGCATGTGGAGGTAGTGGTTTACTCTGAAAAGAAACAAACCAGAATGAACATCATTTATAATGTGCGTCTTGTTCCCAGATCTCTCTATCAATGTTTGAACGAGTGGGAAATAATATCGTTTGTGTGTTGGGTGTGGGTAGGCTGGCAAATGTGAATGAATAGGTGGTTGGGTGGGTTGGTTAGTGGGTAGGTGAGTGAGTGCATGAGCTCATGCGTGCATATTCACGTGTATTAAAGACAAATTGACGAATATGTGTGGAATGTGGCTAACAACATCCTAACCATACTCACAATGCCAGTAGGTGCATTTTGGGGAGAATTGAGCAGAAAGTGTATAAGAAGGTGTATAGGTTCTGAATAAAATACAAATACACACATAAACTGTCTCATAGAATAGTGTTTCATTGAAGTTATTGAGGAAAACTGCTTAAACATACTATATTTGAGCAATAATGTGTTTTAATTTTTTGCCTAAGTAAGCTGCATTAAAAAAGTACATGAGTCACACTTGTGTTTTTTTGCCTGTAGCAGTGCACCGGTTCTTCAGAATTATTTTTGGGAATTTGTTAATAATTTACTGCTTTGAGTGTATTTGCATAATAACCTTGACTTGGTTCAATGTATGCATATGCGAAATGTTGGGGATGCCATATCATGGTGCTGGTTTGCTGCCACATTCACTCAGTGCGATAGAAAAGATGGAGTAACATAGTAGTACTGAAAAGATCATTTCAGGACCAAATTTCTAGCATACTCTTTATCTAATGAGGAGTGGCCTGCTATGGCTGTAGCGTTGCAAGAACCGCTCTTGCCTTCTCTCCCACATTTGCTGGTTTCAGTTCACAATGCTTTTACTTTCATCGTGAATGTTGTATGATCAGCTAAGATCAATATGCTATTTCAAAACTATTAGTATGATTTGTGCACTTTGTAATTCATTCCTCAACTGTTATTGCTTCAATTGCATATTTTCTTTAGCAAAGCAATCATGAAAATTGCTTTTGCATTTTTTTGCAACAATACAACTAAACCAAGTTGTGAATCATTTATGTGTCAACAAAATAAGTTTGAAAGCTTTTATCTTGCATGAAATTATGATTACGAATTCAATATTTATAAAACGAAGATCTGTGTATAGGTCAACCAAAATTCATAATGCATCTGATGCAAAGTAATGACTGCGCTGAGAACTGAGCTGTGATTTTGCAAGGCCAGAAATATGTGCAGTCTGTTTGTTCTTGTGATTTTTTACACTATCTTCTTAATCATTATTCTAAATGTCATTTTATCATCTGTGTTCTGGCTGTGGCGATTATGCACGTTTGCTTGTACATTCGCTCATAAATGCCAGTAAGGTTATCTTTTCTTTCTTTTTCTTCGTAAAATTTTCCAGTGCTTGAGTGGCTTTTCTTATTCCCATTGTTTTGTACTGATACAGTTGCTCTTGCCATTTATTTTGCTTCAGGAAAAAGTAGTAGCATTTACGGTGAGAACTAATATGGCATATGATGGAAGTTTGGATGACGATTCACCTGTCCATGGCTATGCTATCTCGTTTGGAGTCAGAGACTACCTTCAGATCCTGGAGGTGAGGTTTCTTTTTCCCAGCTTTCATATTATTTCAGGCTTACCACATGCAGTAGTTGCACATTTCATTTTGACACTTTTTGCAAGCGGGGTTACTGGAGAGCTTCTTATGTTTTTATGCAGTATTGGTTCTAAATTTCATGCTAAATTTATTTGTACATGCCCAGTGGCGGTTCTTAACTCTGCAATCACAGTATGCTAATGCAGGTCATTAAGAAAAAAACATTTTTACTGTATTAGTCTGTAATCTTTTTTCAACTACATTGAGCTTATGACATTTTGCATGTCCGCCACAATGGATCAGTGTTTGCAGTGGTCGGCTGCTGACACAAAGATTGAGGGTTCGTTCCCAGCTGGGGCATTTTGGTAGAAGTGTAATAGTAGAGGCCTGTGTTCTGTCTGATGTCAGGGCACGTTAAGAAACACCAGATAGTTAAATTCCTGGAGCTTGGCACTACAGCTTTTCTCACAATAGTATTGTGTTTTTTTTCGGATGTAAAACCTCTGATATTATTACTATTTTATGACTTGTTGTGTGATAACTATGACCTAATGTTTTGCATCAATGGAAACTGGTGGTAAGAGGAGAAAATAATGTGGGTACAGAATATTGTTTATGTTTGTGTAAATAAGCTTTTGATGACATCATTTTATCGCCTTGTTTAATGTATGCGATGAGTGTGTAGGTTGCTCTTAAGCAGTCTCATAGCGGTCCTGCTCGCATAAGTGAGGCTGCATCACAGGATCATCAGAATTTGGCCTGGATTCCTGTTGTAAAACCATGAAAATTTTTCGTACAGTTATTTGATTGATTTTTCTGCTGTAACTTTATTACCTCTTTGCTAAGGTAGGGTGTGGTTTATGTTCAAAGCCACGTGATCAAAATATGCATCGAGTGCCATAGTTTGCCGGTTTCAAAACTTGTAGTACCTTGCATTTGATTGACATGCTTCAAGTGAAGTTTCAAGTTCAGTTTTGTGATGTGCAGGATATCACTTGTAAGTACAAGGAAAGTCAGTCATTACCTAAAGAGGTCCCTCAGTTCATAAACTGCGTGAGAATGTGTACTGATGATAGTAGCCTTTGTATTGCCATTTGTGCAAGAGTGCCACTTGCTAACCGTGCTTTTCTCCCATTGTACATGCAGAAATTCAACAATGACTGGTGGGTGGGCCGTCTCATGAAAGAGGGCTGTGACATGGGCTTCATTCCTAGTCCAGCCAAACTGGAAAACCTGATTTTACAGCAAACGCAAACACGTAGCAGTAAATTACATTCAAGGTAAGCGTTGACATTGTGCCTTTTATTCGTTGGTTGCATTGCACTACGCATTTAGTGCAACTTAAGCTTATAATGCACAATTCCTTGGAATGTAAACTACCACCTCATCAGAACATTGTTCCATGTAGCTTCACTCATGGTACAGCGTAAGTGAGAACTTACAGGCAATCATGCCGAGGGAATTATAGAAGATATCGTCAGTAGTAAACATGATACAAACTTGATATCAATATGTATAATTATGGTATAGGCTCTAACTCACGGGATGCATAATGCCAGCAGGCAAGAAAAAGTGTCATTTGCCGTCATTGCTACGAGCTGTTGCTGACTAGTAACATTCTTCAGTTTAAATGCTCAGATATACTCGATAAACTGGAAAGGAGGACGTCCATAGTGCGAGCTCAGAATGAGCTCATGTGTCCAAAAAGCCGTTTTTCCAAGCACACGTGTAGTATACCTTGTATTATTGGCTCAATTATACACCACAAATACGTATGTTTATCTTCAACTGCTACTGATTTGATAATCAAGGCTTCTGTTTCACTTTGTTAAAACTTCATCATACATGAATTATTTACATCTACTATGCAGATGATGTACTAGAAACACTTGAATTTCATCATAATAATGCTTTTCGTGGCAACAGCATGCTCGCGCAGTTTCTGCATGTCTTAGTACAGAATATTATTCAATACATATTGCTATGGGGTGCCAGAGATCAACAAAATAAAGAATACGACAATATATTTATATGTATTTTTTGCTTTCCTTTAAAACTTTCTTAAAGCAACAACTGAACCACATTAGCTTCAGTAAACGTGATTTATTAAAGTTATGAAGCATAGTGAGACCGTCTTTTTCCTTGCCAACTGCTTTTCTATTCAGTACTTGAAGCTTGAACTCTTGCATAGTAGCTGGACACAACTATGAATTTCGCCATAACTTCTTTTGCATTGAGAGAACAAATATGTCAATATTGTTCTTCATTTCTCTGGCTTCAATTACAGGGGTTCAACACCACCTACTCCTGGTAAGTCTGAGAAAATATCCTGTTCTCCTACCTTGTTTACAGGACATTAAACATTTCCTGAATAAAAAAAAAATGTAGGTGCAAGAGATAGACATGAATGCTGACTATCATCTCTTCTGTTGCATTGCAAACTTTTGGATGGCATTGATAGTTGTTGATTTTTTTTCTTTTTGTTGGTGTTCAGGCCTAACTTGATTGTGTTTTTTTTTTTGCGTGTGCTCCTTTCATCGATGCACATTTTCCGCTATGTGATAAGACCTGTAGATTTCTCTTCATCACAAAGAAGACGACCTTGTGCTGTGACCTATTGAAGTACCAAAAATGTAATCAGTGTAGCTGTGAAATTTCGGCTCTCAGTATTTTGTTGTCAGTAGCATGTGTTTTGTGCAATACCATCCTTGCTTGAACACAGACCAGAACGGTTTGGAGAGCAACGTTGAGGAGAGTGACAGTCCTGGCAACACAAAGCTCGGTCGGGGCGTGATAACCACACTCCCTGCCAAGGAAAAACGGAAACCATTCTTTAAGAAGGTGAGTTTTCTGCAAAACTGTTTACCGATGTTTTGTATGGATAAAGCAGCATTTTAGGTCGCTGAATTTCGTTGCCCTAGCATAGTGTACTTCTTACAGAGGCATAGCGACTGACAAGTAAAAGAATCAGTTACTATAATAAAATCTAGGTGTGCGGTCGAACCCGTTTATAACAAACTCGAAAGTGCCGCGATAAATGGTCGTTATATCAGTAGTTCATTGCAGTATATGGACCCACCAATGGAAACTTCCAATTAGTTCCCCAACCATTTTTTTTTTTGTTTTTTTTTCCTGTGTATTTTTATTCAAAAGTGCAAACAACCCCTAGGCTTTTTCGCGTGTTAAACATTGTCCGTTTGCTCCTGATTGAATTCAACCACATCTGAAATGAACTTGCGCCGTTCCACTGAAGTGCGGTACCGCCACGTCGAACCAATCGTTCTTGGCTAGTTGCGTGCAGCGCATCGCTTACTCAGTTCTAGCTGTCGCGTGCCAGTTCGTTTGCAGTCCAATGTATGGGCGCGTTTGCGCTTTCTTCACGCATGCTTCACTTGAGATCGTGCCCGGGTGCAGCGAGTTGCCTGTTGGTAACACACAATGAAGAATTTCGCGAGCAATGCGCGCAAACAGCCTCGCACGATGCAGCAGTGGTGAATTTGCGAACGGTGGCATGAGGTGCTTGTCCTGCCATCACTCTGCAGAGTAGCTATCTGCAGGTGACTGTAATAAGGTTGATGGCGATGAGTCGAAGTGGCACGTTCATCATCACCTTTCTTTTCTTATGCTTTTTCGTTGAGTGCGGTGGTGATTATCACTTAGACTGATCTCTGCCGTTACCGAAAGGCGTCAAACCTTTTGCAGTACAGTGTGGTGTTGGAGAGCTGAGCGCTGCAGTGAAAGTTATCAGTTCTCGAATTTATGGCTTCTTGCGTTCGAAGGCATCGTTTGTTAATTGGTTAATCGTAGGCAGTCGTAGATACTGAGAATGGTGTAAAAAAAGTTTGTCATGCGAAAGCTGACTGCAAGTCTTCGTGCTGCCTCTTATTTCTTTTCGTTTTTTTTCCTCACTTCCGTTCTACCGGTGAAGAAACGTCTGAAAAGTGAGGGACCTAGTTCGCAATGCCTGAAGTCTGCGTGCGGTGCTCATCGTGGTCTACGATATGTTCGTCGCAAGTAAACAGCAGCGGGGCACATGCGAGCGAGCGCCTATGTCATGCTTTAGAATGCCTTTTGTAACACTATTTTCACTTTGTATGCGCCATTTTGTTTACAGCCACCGTGTCATAAGTGTTTGTTGTAACAGTAGGAGGCTTTGAAAAATGTTCTCTGTATGCACGTGGACTCAGTTTCAAAGGGTAGCATGGAAAAATTGTAAGTGCAGCGATATAAGGTCGTTATAACCAATAGATAGTTATACCTGGGATCGTTGTTAGTGGGTTGAACTGTATATAATTTTTTATTTCTATTAGAAATTGGGCGCATAAATATCTGTAGCATGTAATCATCATAGACAACACTCGTGACCTTTTTTTTTTTTTTTCCTTCCACACACGTCCTACTTGGCATCCTCAAAAGATCGAGTTCGATTTTTAGAGCAATCACTTTGAAATCCAGTGGTTTTGTCCATTTTGAAACTAGCGCCCTTTGAATTATCTCGCAGACTGAGAGCTTAAGCCCCTATGACGTAGTGCCTTCAGTGAGACCAGTGGTCCTGGTGGGGCCCTCTCTCAAGGGTTACGAGGTGACAGACATGATGCAAAAGGCTTTGTTCGATTTTCTCAAGCACCGCTTTGAAGGCAGGTGAGTGGAATGCTTGTTGCTCTCTCTTAAACTAGAGTTTTCAGTCAAGCTTGTGTAAGTGCCAAGCACATTAAGGACCCAGGCTTATACCATATTTACTTGCATAATCCTCGCACTTTCTTTGGGGGAAAACTGATGCAAACAAAGTTGGGGAGATGCGAGAATTACGCAGGGAAGACCTTCCCCAAAAACGTACAGAGCGAGAAAAAAAACGAAGTGGCCACAAATCAGGATTTTCACACCAGGCAACTAACAGCAAGCTTTGAGAAGTACCAATTAAAACTTACCTCAACAATAAAAGCACAAGTTCAACACAAGGCAGGATTTGAGACGCAAAAAGTGCAAGCAAATAGTCGAGAATTGGAATACCGTACGCAAAGCTTGTGGGCGTTGCGGTATGTAGCGGTAGCGTTCGTCGCTCAACAAGGAGCCCCCAAAAGGTAAGCTTAAGGATGTCAGGTATAGGGCTGATGGCTATTTAACAGAATCGTCTGCAGTTTCCTTTGAAGAAATAAAGTTTACCATCAGTCCCAGTTTTAGGGACACGACAGGCCCAATGCGTCTTGGTGGCTTTCTGGTGTCATCACCAGTAGCGAACACAAAAACACGTAGACTTCAAAGGGCCTACTGGCGGCCCTGTTGCCGTTATTTAGTGCATGATCTATCACTTTTAAACTTGAAAGCAGCCTTGTAGATTGCCCCGCCGCGGTGGTCTAGTGGCTAAGGTACTCGGCTACTGACCCGCAGGGCGCGGGTTCGAATCCCGGCTGCGGCGGCTGCATTTCCGATGGAGGCGGAAATGTTGTAGGCCCGTGTGCTCAGATTTGGGTGAACGTTAAAGAACCCCAGGTGGTCTAAATTTCCGGAGCCCTCCACTACGGCGTCTCTCATAATCATATAGTGGTTTTGGGACGTTAAACCCCACATATCAATCAAGCCTTGTAGCTTCAGTATCATTCATAAGGTGCAAAGAATACCGACACAACATACAAAACACCCCGCAACGCACACTTTCCACTTTGGCTTGAGTTGAATTGAATTGAATATCTGTGCAATAATAGTATGCTTAATGCTTAAGAGATGGCGCCCTATGACGTGCACTATAATTTTCAGTGGCTGGAACGAGCAGGCAACATTATTGCGGCAGTTTTCAGGGGTGCGATAATAACTCGAGAAAAAAAAGAAACCGTGTTTTTGTTGGGCAATGAGGGGGGTGCGAGAATTATGCGAGTGCGAGGATTACGCGAGTAAATACAGTATGTGCTGTTGTTGTCGCCTGTCGTAACGCAGGCAAAACAATGTGTAGCATAGCCATTTGTAGCATATTGAGTGTGCGCTCATGCCCAGGAGAAGTCTTCTTCCTTTTCGTTCCTCAAGCACCTTGGTGATGATATTAAGGGTGGATGGAGGGCTAAGACAACAGAAAATGCGGTTTTTCAATTTTTATGGCACAATATTCCAGCATTACTGACGGGTGCTTCCGTGAAGTAGCGACTTCTTAGGGGCAGTCGAAAGCGTTTGAAAATTACTGCAAGCATGCCTGATTCTTTGTCTGCGCCACGGCAACTCAAGCTTTAAACGGCGTTATCTTCAAACACCACTTTTTATCAGAAAAGGAACATTTTCTCTGTAACTGCTGAAGCTATCAGATAAAAACTTTTGTGACTTCTTTCTGAATAGCATGTGTAGTTCCTAAAGCAAACGAATGTTGTTCCTTCTTCATTAGGAAAACAGCCTTAAAATTCTAGTCGTAAAGCATTTATATTTTTAACTAAAGAATGTTCATGCGTACAAATATTATTTTGGTTCAGAAGGATACTCTAGGCACATGTAATAACTAGAATAGAGTTCATCATTTTACATGCAAAATATTTTTCACAAAATTATTTTTCATTTTTATTAGAATGGCTTTGTATTTTCTGACCAAGTTCACAAAACATATATAGTAAAATCCCCGTTCAAGCAACTTGCGAAATTTTGTAATATTTGCTTTAAAAATTACAAGAGTGATGGGCAGTAGTAGTCGCACACTTGTTTGTGCTATCCATCCCCCTTAAGTTCGAAGCACTTTAGGCGCTCGAGCTGTCATATTCTGTTGTCACTTGGCGTAATACCGGCAAAACCATGTGTAAAAATAGAAAATAACTGGAAGCAAGCAACAAACAGAAAGAGAAAGGAAAAAAGGAATAAAAGATGTAGATAAATAGACATAAAGAGGAAAGAGGCTGAAAAAATTTAGGGAAGGAAAAATGAGGCACGAGGAAAAAAGAAAAAGAGGGAACCGAAGAGAAACCAAGACTGTCCAGGACTGCCTTAATTTCTTTAGTATCTGTCGTGACAGTGTCCTGTTATCGTCATTGCACATACTTATTCATGCTGATAGGCCACCTTCCATTCATTTCAAATGCACTGACCATCACGCTGATTGCACATGTAATGTCCTGCTCTGCCCATGGTTGTAGAAATACAGTAGACAGTCATTAATGGTAACGGGAAGGGACGGGGAAAATATGTTCCATTTAACAGGAGTTCCCTTTACTGAGAGATGAACGGAAGAGGGCAGAACACGAGTATGAAACCAATCTCATCAGAGGCAGTTGTTTCCATTTAAAGGGCAGTTCCGTTAACAGATTTCAGTTTACCAAGAGTCTACTGTACTGTTGCATTTAAATTAGCACTACCATGAGCCATCCAACTATGGAAAGACCTTCTAGTTTATGTAGAATTTCGGAATAATGGTACTTAACTTTCTCGTTACCGCGACAAAATGGTTATTTTTTATATGTCTCGGAAAGATGATTTTTGCCAGTTTGAAAATTACTCCAGCATGCATTGCAGCATGCCAAATTATGCGTAATGATATACTCTTTCCAAAAATATATGTTGCAAAGCAACAAAAATTTTCTCGAATGAATAAAATTGTGAAAAGTGCAATTCTTAGTTGCCAGCTGGTAAACAGTGCTATAAAAACTGCTATAGTTGCAGAAATATTCAGAACCAAGAAAATTCAGAATATGCATTTTGAAGGTAAATGACCCAGGAACAGTATAAAAAATAATAAATGTTGTACGATACATTTCTATTCACACAAAGAAACTCTAAACCTAGGTTCTGCCTCATTTCTCGGGTTTTCGTGAAACACAAATCAACTCGCACGCCTTTCTCAGTACTTCTTTTTTTTTGCAACAGAAGCCTGCAGGTGTTTCACTATAGATGAATGCCCGTGATGTGAAAAATCCTTCTATATATCAGATGTCTGATGAACTTTGCAATTTCGTCTAGCATCACCTCTTTTTATGGGCCACCTTACTCCGCATTGGTTGGCATTCCAATGTATGCATCCAAGCATATTTCTTTGCATTTTGCACATCATGGTAAAAGAAAGAACAATATCACACGCACTTCTAAAGCGTTTCACGCTGCTCCGTAGTATAGTCCAAAATGTGCTCCGGTGGCCTTCTTGTCATGAGAAGCTCTGCAGCCTGCGCCAGCACACCGCGCCCCAGTGGCATGTGGACCTTGCACGTAACCAGAGTAGCTATAATATTGTGCACAAAGGTCAGCAGCTGCGCACTTGCGGTGGACGAGACAACTTGTGGTCGTAATCAAAACAAACCCTTGAACGGCTGCGGATGTCTCAGGCTGACACATAATATTGTCAATATAAAACTTTAAGCAGACATGCATGTCATCCTCAGACTTTAAGTTCGTCTTCACTCAATTCAGGTGCCGTTGCGAGACAGTTTCGAGCATTGTGTTTTTTGCAACACAAGTGTGAACCCATGTGTGCGTGACGACGATGCCATAGGAGCCACTAGGGACACTAGATGCGGCCCTGTGTCTGATATAGCAGTACAAGCAAAACCAAAGCTGCTAGAAACTGGCTGAGATGGCCACCTCCACACTTTATTCGTGTGGTGGACCTTCAGCAATACTCTTTTATAAAATAAATTTTCCCCGATTCTTAGCAACAGCTTTCTATTGAATAGCTGGCTTCAATTTCTTACAATTATTACTGCTTAGCACTATCAAACTGCAAAGCTGACATCTTAATTTTATATTTGACTTGCAAAGGTTCTTTTGATTTGAGAACTTTGATGTTACTGTAGCACAACCGCGAGGGCCACTCACTTCTGTCAAGTTCGCGAGCCAAGTGCATTTTTCCAACAACAAACGCACATTGGTTTGCGTAAAGGTCTGTCAAAAATCACTATGTTCCCAAAATGGGCAAATGCAAATTGATTCTGAAAGTTTAGTGGCTGGGCTAACTACTATAAAGTGCTGGGTGCACAAGAAACAAATTCAACATGCCAAAATAGGCAATCCAAAGCGTCACTGACTGGTGATCAATATGAATAGACATGGCAGCGAAGGAGTTAATTCCTTGACTATGTGAATGACTATTTATCAAGATGGTCAATATATTTTAATTGTTTTTCCCTTGAAGTATTACTGCTGTAATCTAGAGCTAGTGCAGTCTCACTGTGCAGTTTTTTGTCATTATTAGTGTATTTTTCTAACTTTTTTTTTCATTGCTGCACAGTGTTTCTTGCAAGCATAGCTTCTGATTGTTGCTGCTGTGTATGTTACGCCTTATTTATTTTCTGATTTTTTTTTAGTTTGTATAAGTGTGCAGTGCTCAGAGTGAAATATGACATCGAAACTCGAAGTTTGACAACTGGCATGCGTGATTTCTCACATTAGCCGCATCGTGCTGCTTAGGCCTAAATTGTTGCGCTTCACCCCATGAACACTCTACATATTGGCATGCTTGCTTATAGCTTTGAAAGTATGTTCATGGTGTGCTCATGGTACTAATGTAACTGGTATTTCTTGCAGTGTCATTGCTTCCAGCTTTGAATTTCTGGTTTTATCATAACATTGTTGTTTTACTATACAATATTTTATTATGTGACATATACCCTAAAATACACACTGTGAGTACGCAATCGGGGGTACTAAAATATGAACCTTAGGGTAACCTCCTAACAGAACTTATAAGGGGATCATTATATTTTTTCAAACTGTATTTTTATTAGGTATTATACAATTGCTGGATAATCAGCAGTAGTGGGTAAGAATGAAAAAGAAAGCACGAAGGTAACTCCCAAAAATTTAAATGAGTGTACATAACATGCAAGTTTAGTTGTGTGAACTAAGTATTCTTTATAGGGTGATTTTTTTCTAATTATGAAATAGTGTTTGGAACAATACATTACATAATTTAATCATGTAGGAAACAAATATAGTTATTGTTATATAAATTAAATGGCAGCACACATTTGATTAAGCATTAATAAAGTACCACTCCTTCATTCGACACTTGAATGATAATAATGTGGGGGATGACTTGATATCATATAGTATTGAATTTCATAGTGAAATGCCTGAAACACTGGAGGTACAAGACTTGTAATTAGTTTTAATCAGTAATGTGCAAAAGTAAAGCATTTAGGAAGCAAGCTGTGGGAGATGTAATCAATTGAAATACTATTCATTTCAATGCCTTCTCTTGCAAGAAGAAAAAAAGTGTGGCAAGGAGAGGGAAATACGATCGTGTATACAGTAAAAGTCTGTTAATTTGGATTTCCCAGGACTACAAAAGATGTCCAAATGATGTTCATTGTAACTTTCAGGCAAATCATTATTCTAAGCACTTGCTTACCGTAACATGTGTGCATTTGTCCAAGTGTAACAGCTCTTCCATTGACTTTATGCTACTTATACAGAAGCTAATTGTAAGCCTGTAAATCCTACTAAATTAAAGACGTTGTGAGGTCATTGCTTTAGGACAAAACTCTTCGAATATTACTGAGAGCATCGAGTTGGAACTTGTAATGTTTCTTGCACATGAGTGGTGGTTTTTAACTCTCGAAACTATGCTCTTGGCATTAAAACATTGCCTTGCAGTGTAGCGAGATATTCTTGCTCATTATTGCAGAATCATAATAACTCGAGTGACTGCTGACATATCATTGGCAAAGCGCTCTGCCGTCAACAATGCCGGCAAACGTGCGCTTATGGAACGCTCAAACAGCCGAACAAGCTGCCTAGGTGAGCTCAATGTTTTGTACTCGTGCATATTATATTCGCCCTACCTTTTGCAAGTTTTCAAGTCTTATTCCTTGGCCAGGAATTTTGGGGGTGCATGAACTTGTAGTATAGGTGAAACAAACATTAGGGTCGTGTGTTAATACAAAGAACCATCAGAAATGTCTCGCCATGTTGTATTGTACTACGCTGTCTGAACAGGTGCAGATATAAAGTTTAATGTTTAAATAAACCTTTTTTTTTTTTACATAAAACACTATGTGGCACAACACTGCTCTTTTTCACTACCGAAATGCATATCTATCAAGCAAACCTAATCTGCTCTGTGTAACAAATATTGACAAAGATGCACGAAACGCTTATTTTTTTCAAGCAGCCTTATCAGCATTTTGAGTCATATGCATCTGTAATAAGGTCTGTCATGAAACTGTTTTATGCTGGCGTTATTCTACAAATGTCCATAATTCTATGTCTTGGGGGAATGGGGGGACGCTTTTACTAAGATGTAGAAATCCGTAAACAGGCGTTGTGTCGAGCCGACGTTTCAGCAAGTGGGCTTGCCTTGCTCAAAGCTAGAACAAAACTTTTCTATCCTAGCCTTTAGAAAAACAAGTCCGCTTATCATAACATCGGCTCGACGCAACTCCTGTTTACGGATTTTTTCGCCGCAAGCTTCTGTCTTCATTTTCCTACTGTTTCTTTGCATTGACCAAGGGCACACGATGCAACCATATCTGTACACAGACAGAGTTTAATGCCGTATCTTTGTTTGTCTCGCCACAGCGGAAGTGCAACAAGAAATTGAACGAATATTCGAGCTGGCACGGACGCTGCAACTGGTTGTCCTTGATTGTGATACCATTAACCACCCCTCACAGTTGGCCAAAACGTCACTAGCACCTATCATCGTTTATGTAAAAATATCTTCACCAAAAGTGAGTCTCTATTCTTTTTCAATTTCTTTTAAGACAGAGTATCGTCAGCAGCTTTTGTTTAGCTGCCCGTTTCTTACAATTGCCAAGCATGGCAGCTAAACATGCTTCTTAGTCATTGCATCATAACATGGCAGTGTTTAGGAAAAGGGAAAGAAGACAACCACCCAATTGTAGCACGAATCCACTAGAAAATCCGTACGGATCTCTCTGAAAGAAAAGCCTCTTGGTTGCCAAAAAATTCGTCTTGGTCCAGGGTTCGAAGCCCGTACTAACGCCTATCTGGTGTGGTCACTCTGCCAATTGAACTAACCAGCTAACCTTGTGGCTTTGTGCTACAATCGGGTGGTTGTCTTCTTTCCATTTTCTAAGGTCCCTAGATGAAACAAGTTTGCGAGGTAGCGTCACTCATTGTTATTGAGCTGTCCTCCTTACTCTCTCTCCATTACCCCTCTTTTTCTCTGCCATCTGCATCTGTAATTCGTGCATTCCTTGCACGTGATCTTGCAAATGGCTGGTGGTGTTATTTATTATTATGCAAAAGGTTCAAAACGAGTACGCATGAGTATATGGCTCCAGCCAGATTCTCGCAGTGACCAAAGACGAAATCGTAGCCAGAACATAAACTGAAGAGGAGGAGCATTTCAGTGTGCGCCAAGTCTACCAAGATTGTTTCGCGATGCTCGTTCAATGCAACATCCGCATTTTTCAACAATGCTGCAGTTGCCGTAAAACAACAGAAAACTGGTTTCGCTCTCTTCAACCTATCCTCGTGCATTTCGAGATGAACCACATCGTGAAGTGTAGCAACGAAACATTTCACGCGAATGCTTTCGTGCTACTCTGTCGACGTATGTCGACGCAGGATCTGCGAAGCGAGTTTATTTGTCGGTTTTTAATTGCAACACAGGCGCGCGTCTAATGCGAGTCTAGTGCATGCCAGTTGGTACAAATACTTGTGCGTATGCAGGTATACAGGACAGCTGGAGGTTGTAATCAATGCACCTTCAGAAATATTTCACGGTTGAACAGTTCACGCTCGAGCCGAAACGCGCTGCTTCGAGACACCTCACCAGTAGAACTCGCACTTTTCAGGAAGTTCTGAGCACTGCATTAGAATCACCTGGCATCACGATTGTCCCAAATGGGCACATTAAATAAACCGTCATCGCAGTGCTGCTTGTCAAGCGTTCGCACCAGTCTGGTCGTAGTTTTTCTCTTGTGTGTGCATGTCATGCAAGGTTCTTTTAGATGTTTAATAAGAAGAGCTCTCTAAGGTTTAAACCTATGAGAGACTTAACGAAGGGACTAAGCCGTTTGTACCAAAACTCAAACAAGAAGTTTAAGTGAAAAGTAAAAAGACGACAATCCCCCATAAAATGAAACAACTAATAAACAGTTAACTGGACACGGCGAAATCCATCTATCAACACTCAACAAAGAAGTTCAAAGTGTTCCATTGAATCTAACGTCCGAATAGGGCTGAGCGGTGGAGTAGGGCAAGATATCTGTTCGGTCTCACCCACACGCTGAATTCCGGCGACGATGAGCAAACCGGAACGCGGTGATTCCGGCTTCAGGACGCGGGCAGGACGGGGATGAAGGAACGCTGGCTGCTGACGACACGTCGAGAAACCAGACCGGAACGTGGTGGCTCTGGCTTTTGGAGTGTGGACCCGTCGGTGACGAGAGAACGCAGGCTGGTGGGGATGCGTCAGGGAACCAGGGTCAACCTGGCCAAGCAGTTGGGCGCACAGCTCGGGCCCGTAGCCCGACGGCTTTTGTTCGCCTGTTGGAACCAAAGTCCACAGGCCCTGGGGAGGAGTTGAGGACCGGATGGCCACGGTCCTCTCGAGCGGGAACACGACGGCAGGAGGCCCCGGCCGGTTGAAGTCCTGCAGGCTCTGGTCCGACACCCGACGGCCCATCTTCAGCGCCCGGTCCGGTGACGACCTTCCGCTTGCCCCGTCTTCTTCGAACTCTCTTTGAGCTGCTCTGCTCAGGCTTCTGCTTCCACTCTGGCCCACTTGTCTCGTCCCGATTGGAGATTCTGTACTTTCGTGGTACCGAGCCATTGGGCCTTGAAATCTCCGTGGTCTATGATCATTGGTTACCTTATCTTTTATTTTGTTCACGGCGTGCCACGCGTCCTCGTGCATGCGACGTCTTGCACTGCCATCAGTCATTGTCGTTGTCTAGGGCAGCAACGAGCGTGCACTCTGTTCTCTTCTGTTTTTGTGACGCGCACTTTCCAAAGGCGCGCACTGTGAACGCGCACTCCACTCATCACAGTGCACAAGCCGGCTGTAATCGATCGTCACAACATCACGCCCTGTGGTCACTGACAGAATCCAGCAAAAAGCATGTTCACTGTGTTTTACCACAAACAAAACACATTCGGAGAAGTGGACTGGACGAACTACGATGTACGACGCGAGACGCCATGGCTAGTGATGTAAAATATAGAACTGCACAGCGTTGCCAGTTGAGTAACACATCCCGCCTGCTCTTGTGTTGTAAAGTTTATGTTCATAAAGGTAACCGTTTATTCTACAACTCATTTGGTTCCATTTTGTTTCATTTACATCTATTCACCGTAGCAGCTGCACAGAAACATTTGCTTTTTCATGAAAGTTTTGAACCTTCTAGGGGGCGCTCCAGGAACATAGGTGAGGAGGAAAGGGAAAGGTGTCGCTACCTTGGAAATTTGTTTCATCTAGGGACCTTGCCCTTTTCTTAACCCTTCCGCCACCTTGCGAGTTTCCACTGAACTCATTTGCATTACTTGTATCCTTGTGCTTCGAGTTGTCGACGGACTTGCCCTCACGCTGCCAATTGCTAGCTTCCTGGTTAGCTCAATTGGCAGAGCTACCGCCCCGGGTAGGCGTTCGTGCTGGGTTCAAACCCTGGACCAGGATGAATTTTTCGGCAACTAAGAGGTTTTTCTTTCAGAGAAATCCGTACTGGATTTTTTTGTGGCTTCGTGCTACAATCGGGTGGTTTTTTTCTTTCCCTTTCCTTAATCCTTCCGCTACTTTGTGGGTTTCCGCTGAATGCATTTGCATGGCAGTGTTTGACATGCCAGTGTTTTGCAAACATTTAATGTAGTACATGGCTAAACCACACGCACCAATCGCAAGTGCCAGACGGACCAATGTTTTACATGGTTTTTATTAGCTCTGCCAGGTTTTCCTGTGGTATGAAGCATAAAATTTGCGATTTGCACACATTTCACTTTCTGTGTTAAATAAATGCCAATGTTTCACCCAATTTAGGATAACTATGAATTCTTATAATTGAAGTGGTAATTTGTGTTTATGAGGACCTTAAGCTAGCATTAAAGGGACCCTGAAACGGTTTTGGTGATTTCGTACAAACACCCTGGGCTGGTAGACCAAGTCCTAAGGATTATTTAGAGGCTAATTTGAGCTCTTGCATAAAGCTGTGTAATTTATTACAATGCTTTAAAGCTGAAAATCTGTGCAGATCGTTGCGCATGGCATTTTCAACTGCCTATTCACAGAGCGACATGTTCTGGCGACTTAACAGCGACATGCTATGGCCAGAGTATGTCAGCAGCCACGTCACCGTGGCTGTAGAATGCCTCGAACTGATTGGCTGTCATGGGCTATAGAATGCATGAAAGTAAGATCAATTGGCTGGTAGGGTGGCGGAACCTGTCTAATCAGAAATCAACCACTCCGCTGTCTTCGTCTCTGTTGCCAGACGGCATGCGGGCTGCTGGGTGTATTATGTGATGGCCTCCGAGAATGCGCGCAACTTCTTGGTGTGCAATTTCGGAGGTCTAAGATAGTAAAAGCTCAAACCAACGAGTGCGCTCATGAGAGATCTGCGATCGCCAGAGATACCAGCGTGCACCTTGAGTTGAGGAGGCTAGGCAGAGTTCAGAAGGAGGGTATAATATAATTGTCCGAAGCGACTTTCGGTACATGGCGTGTCACTAAACTTGTGGTGTGAATGGTTTGATGATGTTGTAACCTAAACACTGACAAAACTTCAAAAAACCGTTTCAGGGTCCCTTTAATCTAATTAACATATGTAAAGCCTTCATGTTGTCCAAATTGTGCTTGTAATTATTCTCCCATGCAGGTCCTTCAACGCCTTATCAAATCTAGAGGCAAATCACAGAGCCGGAATCTCAACGTACAGATGGTGGCTGCAGAAAAATTGGCACAGTGTCCACCTGTGAGTTTTTGTTATCTTTGTTTGTGTAGATCCATCTCAGTTCATTTCTGCTTTCATGCATGTAGGTCAAACTATGAGAAAGGGTGAAACTGGGTTTTCCTAAGCTTGGTGAAATCATCTAGATGAAGAAGTAATGGTTGTGCACTTGCAGATCACTTTCTTTATCCTGTGCAATGGCAGTCTTCTTAATTCACTGTGATACTCTATTCATTTCAATAACACACACAACTGCGTATGAGATGCGGTCAGACATGAAACCCCAATAGCTGGAATACGAAGAACAGTAAAGCTTGTAGCTCTTGTCACCATATAAAGATGTGCAATGTGTTCGTTCGAAACTAATATATTGCTGAGTAGATAGTGTTTAAAAAAAAGCATGCTACACATTCAAGCATTGTTAAATGCTCACTACTTCAAGGATTCCATTCCAGGTCTTTCCGTCAAAAGCCTCTTGTGCTTGTGCTGATCATTGTTCTTCACAAAGATTAGAAAACTGTATAAGCTGCAGTTCTAGGTCAGGATTTTTTTTCTTAATGGGGGGGCCCTGCAACACTCTTTGAGCATGGTCATAAAATGCTGCCGATCGGTAGTAGAGGCTACCGACAACATGCAAGCCAAATATTATAGCGCAGCACGCAGCCTGGAATTCACAATAAATTATCAGTCAGCTAAAATTTATTTCTCTTCTCTCGACAAATCACGCAATAAGCCCAAAAATCACTCATAGTAAGCCCATCTATCAGCCGTTGGCTGATTTAAACACGGCGCGCTCGGTCGTTACAGAGATCGCAAGTGGAAGACCATTACTTGTCCACGCATGCGTGCGCGATCGCACTGAAAAGGCCACAGTATGTATTCGAAGAAAAAAAAAGAAAAAAGTGCTCAAGGTCACGAGGCATGCGTGACGTTTTTTGTTGGCCCCTTCCCATCCCACTCTGCTTAGCTTCCAGCGGTATCGTCTGGATGAGAGAAGAGAGAACGTGATTGCGGCATGTGACAAACCTTTGTAACTCCGCTCATACTGGATGGATTTTTGTAAATTTTTGCGGCGTTGAACTTGTAAGGCGATATGCTTTTTCAGTGAATTGATTCTATGGTTACTCAAAAAAGTGTTTCAGGGCCTATTTAATGCGAATGCATCTCTTAGTCGGGCTATGTCAGGCATTCGTCGTTTCGCAGCTGCCGCTCTCACTTTCCGCTCTCAGTCCCTGTTCTACAGCAACAGCTGAGGGCGTGCGCACTTATCCTTGCCTCTAGCAACCGGAGCATGTGGTGCGAGAGAGTGTAGAAAAGGGTAGGTGCAGCTCGATTTTTCGCTGGCTGAGCGGCTCTCAAGAACATCCGGAAATGTGTGCTTGAGACACCACTGCGAAATGTCACTGCCGAGCTGAGAACGCTGTTTGTTTGTTCACTTCATAGTATTTTTTAACCGTGCACGCTAGCTAACTAGAGCTGCAAACGCACACCTGCGTTTCTCCGCGACAGATCAACGCCACATGCGGCGAACAGCGGCATTGGCTGCACAAGTGTAAGAAAAAAAGAAAACATTCTTACGCTTGGTTCTCACATGCTAAGCGCCGTTATGGGGGCATTGCATTTGCATTTCCTCACAATTCTCTTCCGGAGGTGAGGGCATTTTTCTTGGTGTCTTGTCATAAACAAGGAACCCGCTACTTCAGCAATCATTTTCATTTAGTCTATGTATGTATAATATTAATTTTTTGGTAGTGCAGTTAGTATGATAGGGTTATACCCCAAGACTCATTTTGTAGGTTACAAAGGTGAGCCCACTAACTGGCAAGAATTCAGTAGTCAAAAAGAAGGTCTATAGTAAATAGTCATGGGCTGCTTAGAAAGTATGATCATAATGGTAAGAAGCAAACACAGCAAAGTGCATGGCTTCATGTAATGTTGAACTCGATATGAGCTGCGACACAGTGCATGTGGTCAAAGGGTACCAAGTCTGCATGGTGACATTGACAAATCTCAAATTAGCTTGGAAAACACCCCTAATCAAAATTATGTTTAGATTGCCACTTTTTTGTAAGTCGACACTGGCTGCGTAGTGATAGTGCCGTTTTTACCACAATGTGTCAGACCAAAAATATTGAGAACTTGTATGCAAAAGAACAGTAGTGTTTGTTCTATACACCAGTTGTTTTGTATTGATTGCGAATGTAGTGTACATATTGGCAACGTCTGACTGGGTATTGTTAGTTGCACCACATTGATAGTTTTATGGCTATATGCTGGGTTGCATTCCATCATAGGAGGTCGGATGTCTCTTTGAATTGAATCAATATTGCCTCCTATCAAACGCCCGGCAATATGTACTGCTCAGATCCTTCCCCTGAAATGATGCCGTCGTTCCCAGAAGTGTTACTCGTGGTTCTTTTGGATATGCAGGAGATGTTTGATGTGATTCTGGATGAGAACCAGCTGGAGGAGGCGTGTGAACACCTGGCCGAGTTTCTGGAGACTTACTGGCGGGCTGCACATGATAACCTGCCCGAGAATTATGCCCAGCTCATCCTTAACACCCCCTGTGCGGGCATGCTGCCAGATCTCAACCAGGAGTCCCTCGCTAGCCACCGCACTACTCACCCAAAGACCATCGAGGCTGAAAGGGTGTGTTTACATGTATTTGGTTGTTCATGTGCGTGGCACAGACCTGAGGTGATTGCTGTGTGCATTACTGAGAGGGCAGTTTTAGAGCTGGTAAACATAATCACATGAGAATGCACAGTGTACTGTATTTACTTCATGCTGTCTATTGAAAGCCTAAGTTGCTCCTTCAAAAGTTATCTGTAAATAAAATGAATAAATTCATGCCTATATATAATAACTTGGGACAGATACAAGGATATAGGGGCATAATTCGATAGGTCAGCCCCATCGTCGTGGTCTGGTTGCCAAGGTACTCAACTGCTGACTAGCAGGTCGCGGGGTCGAATCCCAGCTGCAGCGGCTGCATTTTCGATGGAGGCGAAAAGGCTGTAGGCGAAAAGGCCAGTGTCTTCAGATATGGGTGCACGTTAAAGAACCCCAAGTGGTCGAAATTTCCATAGCCCTCCACTACGGCGTCTCCCATAATCATATGGTGGTTTTGAGACGTTAAAACTCCACATATCACCAATTCGATAGGTCACAGCTTGAAATTTTTATACCTACTAGATATCTCAGTAGGTCCTTTAATGCAGTTAACTAATGTTAATGTTGTATCATAGGGGTGTGCAAATACTGAAAGATTGGAATACAAGTTTACTGGTAGCTTTGTGAATAGTTCGATTTGCAAATCAAGTGTAGACTATTCAATTTGTCGAATATCGTCACCACTAGATAATTCAATGTTTCCAGCTGCTCTGTGGGCTGGTGCTTGACAATTTTTAAGGAAAGGTGATATCTCTAGTCTATTTTCATGATCGCATGCTAATGCGGCGATTGAAACACAGACATGGCACATCTGATCACGAAGTTTTTGACGTACCGTAAAATGGCGCACCGTAAAATGGGAAAGCAGTGCATACAATTTTTTTTTATTACTTTGATGAGAAGAGTAACCTTGACCTTTCAACCTCCACTTCGAAAACCAAAATATTAGCCACAAATGCAGAAAGTATTGTCAGCAATTTTCTCAGCAAATGAGTGCTGGGTGAAAGGCAACTATAAGGTAAAGTAAAAATTGGAGCAAGAGTGTTTTGCTTATTGCTTATCCAGAACATTATTTCCTTCTATTGATTTGCTACAGTTCTGCTTATTCGTATGCTACTTCCCAATCCATTTACTATGGCTACAGGTTTATAGTTATTTGCAGATATTAATCTGTTGTCTATGTTTTTCTGATAGAAGGCACTTTCTGAAGAATGATTTGTTCATTTGCACTGGCATTGTTAAAGGAAAGTAGCATGCATGTGTTAGTGCATCACCAAGCAAATATATGTATATATATATATATATATATATATATATATATATATATATACCGTATTTACTCGCATAATAGGCGCACTTTTTTTTCAGAAAATCCGGCTCGAAGTTAGGGGTGCGCCAATTACGCGGGGTAAAATTTTCGAAAATTTTTTCAACTCGGTTCTCGCGCTTTAAATCTGCACACTTGTCAAGTAAAAGGCGACTTTATTGTTTACCAATTAATTCAGCATAAAACAAACATACCTACGTACCTTTTAATGAACAAGCGAGAGCCGTCAACTGCACACACACACGTAAAATTTATTTACACAAAAGTCGTAGCTGTTCCTCCTTTTCCCTATTCGGAGTCCGAGTCGGAGATCACACATTCATCCTCGCCGAGCGGGGATTCATTTTCGGTGTCCGAATCATCCGCACCCCACAACATGTCATCCTCACTCGCATCCAGTGCGTTCGAGGTACCCGTCTTCTTGAAGCTTTTCCTGACGACTTCGTCGGAGATCGCCTGCCACGCTTCCACGATCCAAGTGCACAGCATTTCCACAGGCGGCCTCTTAATCTTACCACCTGGAGTCAGCTGATGTTGTCCTCCAGCCATCCAGGTGGTGTACAGCCTTCGAACATTGTCCTTGAAAGGTTTATTCAAGGACACGTCCAAAGGCTGCAGTATCGATGTGAGGCCGCCCGGAATCACTGCCAGATCTGTGCGCAGCTCCTTTAGCTCATCTCGTACGCGGTCTACTAGGTGCCCACGAAAACTGTCCAGGACAAGCATGGACGGCAACAACAGACCACCCGGCCGCCGACCCCAGACTGTCTTCACCCAATCCACCATGAGTTCCGCGCTCATCCAGCCTTTTTCCTGGACTCTGACGTAGATGCCTTGAGGGAATTTTGCCTTTGGGAGCGTCTTACGTTTAAAAATAACGTAAGGCGGTAGCTTACGCCCATCCGCTGTCACCGCCAGCATTACGGTGCATCGTTGTTTATCAGCGCCAGACGTTCTGACGATGACGCTCCGTGCACCTTTCTCCTCCACTGTCGTGTTCCACGGCATATCAAAGCAAAGGGGGGTCTGATCAGCGTTGCCGATCTGGGACAAAATGAAGTCTTTCTGCTGTCGGAGCTTTATAACAAAACTGTGGAAGTCCACCACTTTGTCCTCATATGCTGCGGGCAAGCGCTGGCACAAGGTGGTCCGCCTTCGCAGTGCGAGGCCATGGCGCCGCATGAAACGAGTTGTCCATCCGGAGCTGGCTTTGAACTCTTTTGCTTCGATGCCCTGCGCTCGGGCTATTCTGCGCGCGTCAGTCTGCACAATATCCAACGACACAGCACAGCCGTCTTGTCGTAGCTCCCGTATATGCCGGACCAGTTGCTCTTCGACGTTCGGATACCTGCCGGTCTTGGCACCGCGGAAAGCCTGTCGTGTCTTCTTCGTCGCCTTAAGTTTTTTTTCTTGGTCCCTCCAGTACCGAATACTGGTTTCTCCAACGCCGAAATGCCTGCTTGCAGCCCGGTTGCCGTGCTCCAGCGCGTACTGCACTGCCTTCAGTTTAAACCCAGCCGTGTAGCTCGCGTACTTCCCCATGGTGGAACCAAAGTTCAATACACGACCACAACATACGCACACCGCTTGCAAAATGGCGTTTCTTTCTTTTTCTCTGATGGTGGTGATGGCGATCGAGCCCCCGGCGTTGTACACGTGACCTCCAAAAAGCGCGGCGATTTGGGGGGTATCAGTAATTGATGGAACAGCCGTTTTTTTTTTTCGCTCATGGACGCTTTTTTTTTTTTTTTCAAGTTTTATTTCGACAAACACGTTGGTTAGGTCGTTGCACTTCGAATTTTTTTTATTTGCTCGTCGATTTGCCTTCTTTTTTTCTTCAGGGTACAGGGACCGCGTTCCAACTGTACCGCTGGGGGGTAGAATCGTTTCTGATCACGGCCAAGTTCGGGGTGCGCCTATTATGCGCGGAATTAAAAAAAATCGAATTTTCCGCGACCAAACTAGGGGTGCGCCTATTATGCGAGTGCGCCGATTATGCGAGTAAATACGGTATATATATATATATATATATATATATATATATATATATATATATATATATATATATATGTGTGTGTGTGTGTGTGTGTGTGTGTGTGTTTAATTGTATAACAGCCGTGACATAATGGAATTTGTATTCATCTATGTTTCTTGTATTGCTATCCCTGCCACATCTTGTTAAACTGCAATATTTTATTTTATTTATTATTTTATTTATACAATACTGCCGACCAATTTAATGGTCCAAGCAGGACGGGCAGAAAAAAAGAATGTTCACACACATACAATGCAATGCAAAAAAAACAATGAAGCAACAAAACGCAGAATTCACTTGGAACTACAAAATAAACAAGCCACGGTGAAACCGACTTTTCGCACAAACATAGCAGGGTTTCCAATCCAAATAAAACTAGAAAATCACGCACAACTTCAAGAAACATTGCTAAAAACCCGAACGTCAGTAATTAAAAGTTTCTAAAATGATCGTGTAGGGCTGTCATAAAATTTCCACTAAAAATTCTTTCTGGCAATTTATTCCAGTCATCTACCGTGCGTGGAAAATATGAAAACTTAAAGGTATTTGTTCGGGCAAAGAATGGGGATAAACTGTGGCTATGTGTGTGTCGTGTTTTCCTCGTGGTGGACGGACTAATGAATGGAGTGGGTGATAATCCAGTCTTACACTTAATTAGGGATTCCATAAAAGCTAAGCGGGCAAGTTGGCGTCTAATGTGTAGTGGTTGGATTTTATTGAGTGCCATGATACCTGACGGAGAATCACTTCTTTTATATTTATTATAAATAAAACGAACAGCCCTCCTCTGAACCTTCTCCAATTCGTTAATGTTTTTGTTTGTGTGCGGGTCCCAAACAACCGCTGCATACTCCAGTTTAGGCCTAAATTTATTTAGGCCTAAATAAATAGCAGAGTTTTACTAGAAGTCTACTCAATTGGTGTTGCCTCATGAAGAAGGCTCTTTGAATTGCATATTACTGCAATTCACTTGAATTGTTTGACTCACAGAACCCTATGTGAAAATTTCAACTGTATGGCATTCCTGAACAAAACTTGCAGACATCCAAGGAGCAGGGCCGAGAGACAGACGAAGAGCTAGAATCCCTGTCTCACCATCGTGGCCACCGCTACCAACAGCAGCAGCAACAGCAGCAGCAGCAGCAGCAATCAGTGGCACACCATGAGCCCATGCCCCACAGCAGTTCCTCGCAAGGGGTGGCATCCAGTCGGCACTCCGCAGGTGCAGCAGCTGCACACAGCACAACAGCACAGCTGCACTCACGACCACGGTCACATCACCACACCTCGTATTCTGAGAGGCGGCTACCCCGACAGCCGGGCGAGGTGAGATAGCATGGGACACACTTTTGTTAAATGCCACAAGGCCAGTGTCACTGCATCGTGGGCACTCGCTATTCAGCGTGGCATTCTGGCTGTAATTTAGGAAGAACTAAGTGTATGGCACGCTTTTCTTGTTATTTGAGTGTCATAATGCTGTGGTGGTTATGCAGTACAGAAGTGATGTTTTATTACACTCATAGGCATCTGCACGAGGTGGACAGAGGGGGGTGGTCGCCCCCCGTTTAAAGGGCCAGTAAACAACTAAGTTCAAAAATTTTAATGAAGAGAAATATGCATACTCTTGCTATGTGAACATGCTGCCGCAATAATTCAGTGAATACGTGCTAGAATGAAGAATTTACAGGGGTTAAAACGTTCATTTCAGTCAGTTTCAAATTTTCGTGTGGCTGCTACCATTCTCCGCCATAGGGAGGGGAAGGAGTAGTCCGTCTTTGCGACTCCGTCCACTTTTGGTGGCATGACATCCATGATACGTCATCGGCATGCAACCACCAACTGTGCGATGCTTCCCTCACGTACATGAGTGTGTCATAGCGACGCAGGCAGAAAACGCGGAGCAAGGAGCACAATTACTTTCGTGGTAAAGTAGTGAGACGTCTCTTTATCTCGGAGGCTTTCGTTCTGGCAGTAGCACTTCTCCTGGAATCTAGGGCTCTGCAAAACGGCAGAGGGCAGCACACAAAAATGACAGTATGGACTGCACAGCTGAAACTGCATCGCCACAGGGCCAAGGCGCCGTTTCGTAGGGCAGAGACGAACCAGTTGCCCAACTCAGTAGTGCATAACCTTGCCCATGGGCAAGCTTTCGTTCTACTGCATATGCGAGGGGGATTGGTCAGGAGAGGAAAACAGGCACAGGATTGCTTTTTCAAAATGAAGGATGTGCGGGGTGCGCAGCGCTGTGTTATTCGGCAAATGTGATCACTGCTGTCTACTTTGGAATTGGTGAGCTTGTTTGGGAAGTGTAGAAAAAAACTCGCAGCCTGTTTACTGGCCCTTTAAACAACGGAAGGGGGGGGGGGGCATATGTTCTTCATACCTTTACTCATTTGTACCTGTTCCACCTGTGCGGACATCCTTGAAAGTACATGGTCATGACAATGCAGGTTTGTGATAGTAATGGCAGCTGAGGGCTGCTCATGTTGCGTTCTGAGAGCTGTTTACTACCCACTTTTACCCCTATAAAATTGGGGACCAAAGGCAGACCAATATAGGAAACATGTCATTGCTTCATTTTAATTCTTGAATTCACTGCAAAGCAAAGCCCTAATAGGGAACCCCACTCATGCCTACGATTACACTGACAAAAGATTACGGTAGCATTATTTTGGCTTAGTGATTATTATTGTCACAATAAAGCTTAAGTACATACCTTGTTGTGCAACCTTTGAAGCTTCCCAGACATGCTTGCAAACTACCAGTCAGATCTGCTGTTAGTCATGACCAACTGTGTGAATGGTGGCTCATCGTAGTACAGGAGAAAACACTAAGGCAAAAAAAGGTATAGTCATAGGGCTGGGAAAAGATAGTTTGAAAATGTATCGCAATACAATAGAAAATACTCAGACAAAAAGTATTGGAAATACAGATACAAGATATTGCCATGGAAATTTTATCCATAATTGCCATGAAAAGTGTATCCGATATGATACTTGCCCATTGGTACTTTGATAAATTTGCAAATGTGTTCTTATAGACCCCCACAATGTAGTAGTGGATGCGTGGGTACAAAAATGACGGCCTGAAAATTCTGAATGTGCCCAATTTTTGTTCATGAAATGTTTGTTGGTATCTTTAATTTGGCTGCTTAACAGGACAGCTCTTTAGGCACTTTTCTAAACACCTGCCCTGCCAGGTGGAGTCTGACGAAAAAATAAAATGATGTCACTGCCCTTGATTTTGTTAAGGTGTCTTAATGGCACCAGTACCAGCCGGAGCCACGAAGTTCAGTCTGTGATTAATGTTTCGCATAGTATAGCATTACAACCACAGTATCTTGTATCTTAAGATACATATGTTATTGAATGTAACGGAAATACAGATACCGATACTTGTCTTGCGAGACATGTCGCCATGCAGACACAAGATAACCAAAGAGTATGTAAGATAGTATTTGAGGTACATGTATCTTTGATACTGCCTAGCCTTGATAGTTGGTGCAGTAAAAATAAATACAAAAGGGAATTGCTGAAGTAGAAAGGCCAGTCACGAAAGCCTAGTCAGGTGAACTGGTTTGATAGAGAACAGACACAAGTGGAGGTACATTCAGAGCTGCCTTTCTCCTGTAGTCAGAGTATTAGTGTAGTGTCGATGATCACAATAAATGCGAAATTCTGGCTAAAGTCGATAGTCCACATAACAGCTTTCCTATTTCTATATACTTTGGCTCGTATATGTGTCTTCCCCTCCACTGCTCACTGTTGAGTACTACATACACAATTTCTCAAAGCCATTCTTCCTTGTAGGCATGTAATGCCAACACACTCGGCCGATGGTGCAAGACCTTTAAATCATTGCCAGACTGATTTAAGTGCTGTGTTTAATGCGTGTACATTATTGTAAGGTTTAAAGATGTGCATCCCTACAGATGACAGCATGTTGCCAAGACAGGTTTGCAGTCACCTCATTTTTAAGTTTGTCCTTTTAAACATGTCCCATGCAACTCGACATGTGATCTGAACCACTGACGTCATATGTAACTTTTCGTACTTCATTGTGAAGAAACATTGTTGCTAATTGCTGGTGTGCCTTATAAATTTGTTGTAAAGAAAATTCGTCATATAATTTACTAATACATTTTCGAACTTTTGAGGAACAGTGAGCATCACCAGGTCGTGCTACAGGAGTACTCCATGTTGACACGAGCTGCGCGAGCAGTGTTGATATAGAACTTGTTTTCACTAACACCCTGAATCACCCTCGCTGCAATGTGGGCTGGAAATGTAGTGATTGGTGACAACTGATGATTAGAGTTGCTGCAGTGCATCTGTGCAGAGAGCATATCTGTGTACACAGTATCAGGCTCTCTGTGTTTGATCAATGCCAGGATCGGCTCATTAGCAGCACTTGCTTTCTGCTTGAACAATGCGACCACAATTCTCATATTACACTTACTAGTTATCTCTATAGGAGTTCTAGTTTGTCCACAATCTTTTTAAGTAAAAGATATTTGACACACCTGAAATGTCACTTTTTTTGGGGGGGGGAGCACTTGTGTTAAAAGTAGATTTATCATGCTCCCTTTGAGTTCCTCTTGAAGTCTATTGTATTGATGACCACTTTAAAGGACCCCTGACACCAAACTTGGAAACTTCGAGATGCTTGTGTTGTTGATAGTCCTGCATGCAGGGCCACTTCCGAGTTCTGATGGTGAGCGTCACCTATAAGATATTTGAATTTGGTTTTAAAGTAGGGCTGTGTGCTCGTCCAAATATTCAGATGCAATTGACATTTTCTGTGGTTTGACGTAAATAGGGGGCCCCCTCGGTATGTTGCAAAGATCAAGCAAGTACTGATTGGCATTGGAGAACATTTGCAGGGCATGCACAATACCCATCCGGCGAGGACTATTGTTCAGTTACCCCTTTCACTAGGTTGTCTGGCTGGTCTCAAGGTGGTTCGGGCTGCTTAGCCAGGAATGCTTTTATTTCTTCTGAGGGGAAACACTCAAAGCCTTGACATCGTTTCATTCCTCACCACCCGCGGGTCCCCCTATTTAAAAACGGCATCCTCAGCATCACCGAAGGTTTAGCTCACGTAGTCTCAGGCACCGCCCCGCTGTGGGGCACTAGTTTCTTATGGTATTTAGGCGGGCATTTTAAATTGAATGCAAAATCATTCTGATATAATGACACTTGCATAAATTATACGATGCGTTGGAACATTTACGATTCAATTTCTGCATTACCATACACAAAGCTACAAATCGCTGTAAAAAAAGTTGCAAACAATACTTTCGCTGTCAAGGGTCCTTTAAGAGATTTAATTTGTGACATTTGCTGATGTATATTTTACAAAGGGTTTGCGAGATGTTAAATTATGGTTCATACTGTAGTATGCCTTGCACAACAGAAAAATGTCAGTTTTCTTCTTTGTGGCACTCCTTATTGTCGGTGCAATAATTGCTTTTGGTAGGAAGATGCTCGGTTGCTAATATTATCATAATGGTTAAAATATCCAAATAAGTCTTTAGAAGATGCCCCTTCTTAAATAAAGACATGCTTTTGTATAACTTGTATGTGCTTGTTCAGACTGCATAGCTTTTTTTGTCTGAGTAACACACCGTTACTCACTAACTGGTGCGGCATCATACCACATCACAGAAAAGTCTGTTCATATTTCGGACATTTCATGTTTTCTGTATGCACAAGATTTTGCAATTTTCTTCATGCCACCACATGTAGTGAAGGAATGCCTTGCACTGAAGAGTGTGCTTTTATTATATGCCTGCGTCATTGGTAAAATTGCTTCAATTGTGAGGTGAATTTGAGTGCAAATGCTCGCATACGAGAGGTTATTGGCTTTCTTGGGCACTTTGGCATTTCATGGCATTGCTGTTCAGTCAAATGTACTATGGCTAAACTAGCATGTCAGGGTGTCGCTGAACTATAGGGATGCCAATAAGTACAGTCGCACACGAAATGTCGTGGAATATGAGAGTGCTTGTCAAAATGCCAGCCTACGACGCCTTGCAGTAGGTGCGTAGTGTTGAGAGCTGCCACTTGTGCTTTATCCAGTTCTCAAGGGTGCTAGTTCTTAGACTTGTGGCTGAATTTAAAGTCCTTTGCGATTGTTGCAGTATGTGCTCCTGCCATACTGGTGGTGTATCTTTAAACAGTTGAGGAACGATAAACACAGATGCTATTGCTTCTTATAATGCATGCATTCAAGGGCCCTTCATCTAAATTCAATTGATTTTTGCACTGCATTTGCACATGTGCATCCTTGAAACAGGAATAATTGCCACGAACAAGGTAACCTCA